GTTTTTTTTTTGGAAACGGCTGATTGGTTTTAGGTGGGTTTTTTACTTTTTTGGAAATGACTTTTATGGGATTTATTGATTTATTTATTGCATTTTAAAGCAGATTCTAACTTGAATATGGGTTTGATTGAGTCTTGGTCCGTCAAATTAGATACCATGCTCGCATTTGTCTTCGTCGATAGTCAAATAAGAGAATTTTCTCCCCTTTTTCTATGATTAAAAATATTACCTGACCTGACTATTTTGATCATACTGAGAATAATAAGCCCGTTTGGCAAAGGGTTAAGTGAGGGGTTAAGGAGACTTAACTCCTTCTTAACCTGCCAAATACAATAAATCTATATAAGGGTTAAAGTGAGTTAACCCTCCATAATTTGCCAAACATAAAAAATATAGAAGGGTTAAGTTAACCCATCTAGAGGGGTTAAAATGAGTTAACCCCTCAAAATGAGGGGTTTACTAATACTCCTATTTAGATAGAATAAGAGTTAACCCTTCTAATTATAAAGAAAATAGTCAAAATTATTGTTATTCCCAAACACTAAAACTGATCATAAGGGCTAAAATAAAACTTATTTAACAGGTTAATAATTTAGTCCTTCGGATTATCAAATGGGCTAAGTACATTAATCCTTCTCTTTAACCCCTCTTCATTAACCTTTTGCCAAACGGGGCCTTTAAGAATTTCATAGTCCTTTGCATGCAGGTTATTTCGATAGAGCATGCATTTATTATTTTTCTCTTGTTACAAAGACAGACCGAAATACTAAGCATATGTCAGTATCTTAAATTTTTTAGGAATCACAAAAATCAAAAAAAAAAAAATTTAAATAGATATCACGATTGATAAAATATCCATAGTTACTTGTAGATGATGCATATTCATCTTACTATTAGCTTGTGGAAAATCATATGACATAATTAACACGGGCAAAGAGTACAAATCCCTCTCAGTACTGTTAAAAAGCTGAAAATTTAAATTTTAAAAATTTAATGAGAATTTTACTTTACATAAGTAGAAGCCAGATATAAAACAATCTTGTGAGTCCTGACCACCTACTATTCTTTGCCTCCTTTGATTACAATCCTGGTCCCACCTCTCCTAATAGGATATATATATGGGCTTTTCTTAGATCTATTTTCATTAAAAGTCTTAAACACTAAGAGGCCCTATCGCTTGCACTAATGGGCCTCACAAGACCTACTCTAGATACGGACATTATTAATTAAGGCGATAAATTCTCTTCATCTCACCAATGAATATTAAGCGACAAAACAATCTCTTAGGATGCTCTGAAAACTTGAGCTTTTGTGAGACAAAGAAAATTCACTTACTGACATGAGATTAATAACTTTTTATATGAGATTAATAACTTTTTATAAAAAAAAATTCAAATATATGCTTATCTTAAAACTATTTCTCAGAACATTAAAGAATATTTTTTCCCCAAAAAGATTCATTAGATTTTAAAATTTTCAAAAAATAATTTTTTTAATAATGATATTTTTCCAAGAAATATTTTTCAAAAAATATATTAATTTTTAGGGACTGTTATATTTCATATATTTTTTCAGATTTATCTTTTGGAAAAAATAAAATTTATCAAGAATATTATTTTTTAGAAAATATCATTTTTTTAAAAAAAAAATATTGTCTGTTAACAACTTATTCTGGGTTTTTATTATTTTTGGGGTAGAAAGGAATGTTAGAGCATCTCCAACAGCTTCCCCATTTTATTGGTATTCTCACTTTTGGATAATTTTAGGCTTTTGTTTGGTCCAACAGATTCTCCATCTCATTCCCCAAAATAGTGATGGAGGAGAAAAAAAGGGGAGTCTTCCTCAAATCGCTGCTATTTCGGTCCATACACAATATGTTGAGAGCATTAAGTATGCAATGCATTTGATTCATGACTTCTTTATAGTACCATGGCTAATTAATGAATCTTAACAAAACCCTTATTTTTAAACTAAAGTGCTTCTAGCTATATCCATAAACCAAACTTTCTGTATTTAGCTTTAGGCTCAAAATGCCAAACACATTCATACAATCATGATGTATCCCTTAAGGGGCTGTTTGGTTCGCTATTATAAGGGGTGAAAAACTCAGAAAACCCCTCCACGTCAGATTTTTAGTCCTCCACGTCAGTTTTTTTGTTTCCGTCCATTTCTTTGTGCCGCTTTGGTTCGCTCGGATGGAAGAGGGAAAACTCTGCTAAAATCGCCGCCAACTCAGATTTTTTTCCCTCTCCGATTTTCTTCCCCAACCGAGTGAAATTGATGAAAACTCTGCCACGTCAGATTTTTTTCCTTCTTTGTTTTGTTTACAAAAATTTTCCTTTTTTTCTATGCGAACCAAACACAAGAAAAATAAATACATTGGTTTCTCACCATTTTTTATGTGCGAACCAAAGCAAAACAATCTATTTCTTGGAAAAGTTTGGAAAACTCTAAACTTATATTTCTTTACATGGAATTGCATTTCCCTATATCAAGGAAACGAACCAAACAGCCCCTAAAAAGAAAGAAATTAAGCAACCAAAATACCCTAATCCCTTTTTTTTTTTTTGTAACCAAAGAATTCATTCTCTCATTGCACCCTCCTCCGCTGCCTCTTCTCCCTTCTCTGCTGCCGCAACCTCCCCGCCGCCACCACGTACCTCCTTCCCCTCTCTCTATCTTCTCCTGCCTAAACCTTATTTTTGTTGCAACATCTCAAGACCATCATTTCCTCCACCTCCCTTCATCATCCCCTCCTTGTTCCTATGTTTACTTCCTCGCTGCTATTTCGGTTTGTTGCCGTATATACTTACAGTGTTTCATTCTATACTTACAAAATGTATTGTTATAGTTGTTGTTTGCGCTCTTAAACTTGTGTATCTACACTTTATAAGTGTTGTTGCTGCAGTTACAGATCATCTTACTTATACAAGTCATGTTGCTATACTTAAAAGATTTGAGGCTTCTATATTTTATTGCTATACCCACATATTTCATTGCTATACTGACATATTATTATTATTATTATTATTATTATTGTTTGCAATACATATAGAACATATTGCTGCAATTATAGATTTTTGAGAGAGCCAATATTGAGGAGTTGGAAAAGATTTGAGGAAGACCAAGGCGTATAGGACAAGAAGATCGAGCATGCATATGTGGCAGCAGGGGAGATGAGGGTGTGAGATCCCGTTAGAGAGTACTAATGGAATCTTTGTTGCACGGAATGAGAGAAAAGAGGAGTATTTTTTTTTTTTTTTTGTTATTTTTCAGAGATACATGTTATACACACGTATATATGTCTTAGGTAAATGCAGACAGTTGTTTGGCTTATGAGTATAGATAGAAGTACTTCAATTTAAAAATAAATTGGATAAAACTTTGGGTTTAAAGGAGAAGACCCTTATATTTTCATGTTTGATTATTGTCAATCAGCAAGTGTTTTTTAAAACACTATAGCTACATGATCACCATACCGTTTAACCAAATTATAGTTTCTTCTTAATATAGTTTGAGCAACCAAAAAGTAACTTGCCTTGCCAGCCACCTTTCCTTTAAAAATAAATTGTCATAATAAATAAACTGATATTCTTCATCTTTTGGGTCCCAACATTCTGTTGTGCGTCGGCGGAAGCGTGCTCGCAAACCAAATACCCACACGAATCGGCGAATAAGAGAGAAGAACAACCAACGAGTGTAATTCACAAAAGAACGGCCAAAATCAATCACAAACACATAGATTTACGTGGTTCGGTAATTGCCTACGTCCACGGGAAGAGGATGGGGAGATTTTACTATATGGAGGAAAAATACAATGGGTTATAACTCTCTCAAACACTCAAATAACCCTAACCAACAATCTCTCACTCCCTCACAATAATCTACCTCTCAAAGTGCTTAAAAGACTCTTTTTTCTCTGATAATAATCTCTTCTAAAATGTTCTATATATATAGAAACCCCTAAAACCAAAACAGACTAGGAATCCAACAATTCTAAAACCAAAGCCAAAACAGACTAGGAATCATAATAACCCTAAAATCAAAACAGACTAGGAATCCAACAATTTTAAAACCAAAACTAAAACATACTAGGAATCCTATTTGGCCCAATAACCTGCTATCCAATAATCCTCCACCTCGTCGAAGTGTTCCCAAAACTGAGCCGACACCAACAAGAGCACCAATGTGTCGTCTCTCCAAATCCGGCTGCACCAATGTGGCTGCCTACATACCCCCTCTGCCATGGGATCAAGCCACCCGTAGTTCATCCAAATGGCCTCGAAAGGCCTCAACAAGCGCAAATCCGCAACAAACTTCTACCCATATAGTGATATCTTCAATCTACACACCAATTTCTCCTTTCCGGCAGCTCAAAACTCCAATGGCTAAGTCATATGAATTTCTTCAGCAAGATCACCATGAAGAAAAGCTGTTTTCACATCCAACTGATCCAATTCTAAACCATGTTGTGCCACCAAAGCTAGAAAGATCCGAATCGAAGAGTACTTCACCACCGGAGAAAAGACTTTATTGTAGTCAATGTCTTCTTCCTGTGCATAACCATTCACTACTAATCTAGCTTTGAACCTCACTAAAGGGCCCTGAATGCCCTCCTTCTTGGTATACACTCATTTGCAACCAATTGTCTTCCGTCCCTTTGGAAGCTCGACAAGCTCCCATGTGTCGTTCTTCTGAAGAGACTTTATCTCCTCTCGCATAGCCTCCTGCCACAAATCAGCCTTTGAACTCTGTTCAGGCTCTTTGAATGTAGTAGGAATCATCTCATCGACACTCTTTACCGGAAGTGCATATGCAACCACTGTATCTGTATACCTCGCTAGTAACCGTATGTTTCTCCTCGGTCTCCGAACTGTAATAGAATCTTGAAACTGAACCGCCAGTCCATGATCCTGCTCTGTTGTACCTGTATCCTCCAAATCATCATTGCACTTATCTGGCGTCACCTCAGTCGGCACTCTAATGAATACTGTCTCATCTGGATAATGTGAAGCTGCATCAATCTCCACCATCTGCGATTTCTCTAATGTCGGGGTGCTCTCCACCTAATGAGCTGCTGACGCGTGTAAAGTGTTGGCTAACTAAGCTGACTGAATGGACCCGGCCGAAGTTACCCAAATATCCTTTTTCGACTCATTACAAATATGCAAACTGTCTTCTGCATGGATGTAGGTTGTTCTCTACGACAAAAAAAACCCTATACTTTCTCCATAAGATCACCACTAACTTGATTGTCGGAGGAAGCATTGAAGAACCCAACTGCAACCATATATCTAACATTCTATGTTTGTGTATGATTTTTTTCTGCTCGTCGTGATAAGCCATCAAAGAAGATTGAGGGATCTTAAGCTCTCCTAAATATCCACTCTAACCCACACAATCAAATTTGTGACATAAACAAACACCTACCACTGATAAATACCATTTTGTTGGATGTTTTTTTTTTTCATATCAGCCGTTCAAATCAGAGTACTTTGATACTAAACTCAAAAATTTTGAACCCTTTTAGGTCAAACCTTCAAATCATTAAAACGTTTGATATGTTATCTCATTGTCACTTGAAATAGACAGTGAAACATTCTACACCCCTACTCCACACCTTACATTTAAGCCACTACGGCCTAATACTTCGAAGTTTCCTAACCTTAGCGTCTAACGTAAGTACAAAAAACGCAGCATCTAAGACAAAATTTATGTGCATGTCTTTCAATCAAATTGTCACTGGTGCGCAGGTTATTGATATCTACGCATATATAGATTACACACAAACAGATAAAAAACCTCTGAGAGCAAGCATCCAATTAGACTGGTACATCCCTTTATTAGAAAAAAAAATCTGTATAAGGATTCACCTTGTCAGGCTCCAAGCTTTTGCAATTATTGCTTAATGAGAGCAGAGCTGCTATCAACTCCCAGCTTTTGCGGAGCTAATGCATTTACTCCCCCAAATCAACCCTCAAAGCTCTCTTCACCCTGCACACCTGATGGTCAATGTCTCTCTGTTGTTGCGCAAAGCCCCACCCTAAAAAGCTGGCTCTTCTTAAGACCTATGCTCACATATTTTGGAAAGGGAGGAAAGGGGTAGGGCTAGAAATTTTTTGAATATGTTTTAGGGAAAACTATCCAATATTGGTAAAACAATTATATTAATGAAGACATAATTGTAGATATTTTCACTGTAAAAGATATACATGATTGTATCACCAGAGATCAGTGTCCTGATATAGTTGTAGATATCCCTTTTAGCGCATCATTAGCGCTACAGAATTAAATCATTGGATAATATTGACAACTTGATAGTTATCACAGTTATTCCGACCTACTGGATACTCTCTTTTGCTCGATAGTTGGTGTTTTAAGGGGGGGGGGGAATCTGCTAAGATTATGCTAATGTTCGCATTAACTATCATGTTGAGCTTCTTTGATGGGCTCTACTAGGAAGAAAAATAAAAGAAGAAGGAAAAAAAAAGGTTAAAAAATGAACATCCTACACCCTTTTCTTTTACCCTTTTCAAATCATAATGAGAAAGAAAAAACACCACATGTATCTCACTTTAGTCAAACCAAGCAAAAAATTTAATATACATCAAAAGCACTTTGTTCCCATTTTCTATTTTATAGAAAATGCTTAGCATACCCATACACGTCCTAAACATTTATAGCTAGATCTATAGCTTGTTGTGAATCCCCATTAATTAAATGAAGAGAAAAAGGGGAGGGGAGGAAAAAAGGGGGCTCAAAGTTCAAACAGTGTCAGTTGTAGATTCCAACGCTGGAGAGTAGACTTCCACATTAGCAAGAGACAAAGCATTTGTTCCCCCTTAAATCTTGCCTTCAGAAGCTCCAAGACCGCATAAAGTCTTCAAAGCGCCAGCAGCTATTTTAATCCGTCCACATTGCTTCCAGCTCTTTTTTTACCGGTGAAAGAAACCAAAAAGAGGATCTTTTTTACATAAAAAACAGTCTAAAAAAATGAATTTTGAAGTATAATTGCTACCATTTATCAATACGATTACTTCAATTTGTGTTAGGCCCCATCCTTTTCTTAATTAAAAAGAAATAGTAATACACATTAAGGGACTGTTTGGTTCAATAGAGGGTAGGAATAGGATTAGGAATCCTATTTTATTTATGGATTCCAATCTAATCCATAAAAAATTTATAGACAAGTTTTAGTTTTATGGAATTCCATTTTTTTTTGTATTCTATGTTTGTTTCACTCAAAGGATTAGAAATAGGATTAGGAATCAGAATAAAAAAGAGGAGAGGTGTCAGAAATTCCACCAAATTCCTAGCAAATGGACTGGATTTGGATTTCCTGAAATATACACTGTTTGAGCCACTTTATAGATTAGCAATTCTATAAATTTTTTTTGAACCAAACTCAGGATTAGGATTCATTTGGAATCCATTAATTACGAAAACGAACCAAACTCAGGATTAGGATTCATTTGGAATCCATTAATTACGAAAACGCCATTGTCAGGTCCAAATAACATTCCTATTCCATAAAATTGGTGAAACAAACATGCCCTAAAATTCACATTCAGTAATGGCAAAATTTAATACCCAATTTACGGATTTCGTAACGGTAACGCGCATTAAGATGCATCCTGGATGCGACGTCTTCATCGTCCATGGAGAAAATTAGTAAGACATATGGTCTGGATGCATCGTGCGATATAAATCACCATTAGTTATCGGTACAGTCACCGTCGTCTATCAACATATGCGCCTCGCTAACAGCACGCATGTGCATCCACAGTAACTACACAATTATTTGCTAGCAAACACTGAATTTTTTTAGTTATAGCAACAACTAATAGTGATATGCGCATCAAAATTCACGCCGCTGGACGGGGGATATGCGCAATAACTAATATTTATCTTCTTTTATGATTTTTCTGAAGGTTGCTACACGGAGGTCTTTTTTGTTTTCACCATGAGCGCTATTGATCAGTCATTAATTAAAAAGACATTCTGGTAACTAATAATCTCAGTGCAGGCTACGAGCCAAAGCCTCTCTCCGAGGGATATAGATAGTGTTCACGTGAGAATACATCGGAGAGGAGAAACCGCTTCTTCCGTGGAGTTGATCGAGGCGGTAATAAATTAAGAAACGTCAACACCCAAACAGGGGCCTAAAGTCCTTGGCGGTGTCGTCAAAGCCCCCTCCCCGTTAAAAGCCTCGGGATAAGCGCAAACAGTGGTTTCTTTGGGGACCCCCCATTAATTTTCACCGCCTTTTCAAAAGATTAATTATCACTAGTTTTGCTAAAAGATTATTTGCTTAACCGTAACATAAAAACCGGTGCTTTGAAGAAATTTTTTTTTCCACCGACCCCCCTAAAAATCGCGAGATTAACAATGATTTACGTATAATGAGTAGGCGTCAACAGTCGAGCTAGAGAGCAAAGTCCGAGGCACCCCCTCCCTCCCTCATAAATTCAGCTGGGCCCCCCTCCCCACAGCGACCACCCCACACTTCTTATATCTCCGCAGATCCTCATTCTCATTTTTCCCTACTGCGAGCGTCTGGCCTCAAGAACAAATGGAGGTTAGTTACCCAACTTACTCCCCCTCTGTCATCATCGCAGAGGAAGACAAAGGGGCTTCTAGAATTTTTTTTTAAAAAAAAAGCCCTGCTAACGAATTTTTGGATTTTTTTTTCAGGGGTACAGCAACGGCTACAGCGACAACACGGTGACGAGGAGGGTTCAGATTCCGGCGTTTGGCGACTGGGATTACTGCGACGAGATGCCGATCACTCAGTACTTTGAGTCCGCGATGCAGGCCGGGCTGATCAGGGGCCATTTCTTCGCTGACGAGGATGCCGGCCTCTTCAAAGCCCACCCTCCTCCTGCTCCTGCTCCTCCTCCCCGCTCCAAGCCTGCTCCTCGCTCCAAAAAGGTTCGAATTTCCTAATTAAGAATGTAGCGTGCTTGCATTTTCTTCTTCTTTTTTGTGATGTGGGTTTTGTCGCAGGTGAAGGGAGGAGGAGGAGGAGGAGGGGAGAAGAGGCAGCAGCAAGCGAAGGAGCAGTTGAGGAAGCAAGGGAGGGTGTACGACCTGACCCCGCAGAGCCCGAGGAAACCAGCGAGGGCGCCCAAGGCCGTGGACGAGGATTTGTACAAAATCCCCCCCGAGCTCCTCCGCCAAAAGCCCAAGAGGGTATTTTTTTTTTTTCCACTTAGATTTCTCTACTTAATTCGTCACATGTACTTTTTTTTTAATAAAGTTCTTGCCCTTTTTTTTAAAATTTGTTGCAGAAGAGGATGCTGAGGAAATTGTTGTCAGGGTGCCTGGGCCTCAACTGTGTTGCTTGAGAGCTGAGCTTTGGAGAGGAACAGCGGGGGGATAAGAGAGGATGACAGCGTTAAAAGATCCTAGCTTTTGCTGCTTCGACTGAACTCACCTTGGCTTTTTCTTGTTTTTTTTTTATTGCAATTTTTTTTTAATCAGTGTGATGGGATATATTGTAAGACACTTGTCTTTTTGGTAAGCAAATATATTGTAAGAAATAGCGGGGGGAATGTTTGTTAATGGTGACCTGTTATAGCTTCTGCTGTGCATTTTTGCTTGAAATATATAATTGAGGATTATTAGTGAAGCAATTATGGTCTGTGTGCTTAAAATTGGGTTACCTCCACTTAATCCCCCCTGAACTTTGGACCTTGTTTGGGATATTTCGCTGGGTTATTTTTCAAAAAAAAAAAGAAGAAAGAAAGGTTAGCTGCAAACAGGCCCACTCCCCTTTGTATAACCTAAGGGGGTGTTTGGTTCAATTTCTACAAATTATAGGAAATATTTTCTATCCAAAACATGATTTCTTTGTATTTCTTAAAATAATTATAAGAAAATTTTGAGAAGACAAAAAGTACCAATTTTCTTATTTTTTTTAGGGAAAATCTTCTTTTAACCCAAAGTTTTACTCCAACTTATTTTTAAACCCACCTTCTTTCATTATGATCCATACACCCAAAATACAACACCCACTTATTTATAAACCCAAAGTATCACTTATTTATAAACCCAAAGTATCAAATACATCATATTTCTGGTGCTCCTCCCACTCAAAAAAACCCTAAAACACTCAAAAACCCTCGACTACTGACGCATCGTGTTTATTGGCCGATTATCCACCGCGTCGGGCTGTCCTCGTTGAATTTCGAAGCTTCAGGCAAAGTATAGCACTTTACGGGAAAGTATAGCACCTTATGGCCAAAGTATAGCACCTTATGATAAAGTATAGCACCTTATGGGCAAAGTATAGCACCTTAAGGTCAAAGTATAGCACCTTATGCTCTCTAAAAATTCTGCACATCAAGTTGTCGAGAACCATTTTAGTTTTTTTCCCCGCAACGAAAACATTCGACGATCGACGCATCGTATTTATTGGCCAATCATCTACCGCGTCGGGCGGTCCTCGCTGAATTTCGAAGCTTCAGGCAAAGTATAGCACTTTACGGGAAAGTATAGCACCTTACGGCCAAAGTATAGCACCTTATGATAAAGTATAGCACCTTATGGGCAAAGTATAGCACCCTATGCCCAAAGTATAGCACCTTATGCTCTCTGGAAATTCTGCAGCTTTGAAATTTAGCGAGGACCGCCTGAGAGATAAGGTGCTATACTTTGGGTATAAGGTGCTATACTTTGCCTATAAGGTGCTATATTTTGCCATAAGGTGCTATATTTTGTCATAATGTGCTATACTTTGGTCATAAGGTGCTATATTTCCCCATAAAGTGCTATACTTTGCCTGAAGTTTCGAAATTCAGCGAGGACCGCCCGACGCGGTAGATGATTGGCCAATAAATACGATGCGTCGATTGTCGAATGTTTTCGTTGCGGGGAAAAAAAACTAAAATGGTTCTCAACAACTTGATGTGCAGAATTTTTAGAGAGCATAAGGTGCTATACTTTGACCTTAAGGTGCTATACTTTGCCCATAAGGTGCTATACTTTGTCATAAGGAGCTATACTTTGGCCATAAGGTGCTATACTTTCCCGTAAAGTGCTATACTTTGCCTGAAGCTTCGAAATTCAACGAGGACAGCCCGACGCGGTGGATAATCGGCCAATAAACACGATGCGTCAGTAGTCGAGTGTTTTTGAGTGTTTTAGGGTTTTTTTGAGTGGGAGGAGCACCAGAAATATGGTGTATTTGATACTTTGGGTTTATAAATAAGTGATACTTTGAGTTTATAAATAAGTGGGTGTTGTATTTTGGGTGTATGGATCATAATGAAAGAAGATGGGTTTAAAAATAAGTTGAAGTAAAACTTTGGGTTAAAAAAAGATTTTCCCTTTTTTTTTATTTACTTTGTTTGTTTGGTTCAAAATAAGAAAATAACTCATAACTTTATAGAAAATAGCAAGATTTCTTATAATTTGCAGAAATTGAACCAAACACTTCCTAAATTTATAGAAAAGTGTATAAATTTCCTAAATTTATAGAAAAATATCAATTTTATAGAAAAATATCAATGTGGTGTCAGATTTCTTGGTGATTTTACCCGTTTTGAGAGAAAATTATTTTTTGTAAATTTTGGTATTTTTTATACTTTCCAAAAAATATTTCTGTGAATTTTTTTGAACCAAAAACGTTTACGAAAATCTAGAGAAAATTTTTAATTATAGAATTATCATTATCAGACATTTTTGAAAGAAAAAAATCTATAAAAATGTGCAACTAAACACCCTCTAAGTAGACACCTTCCATGCTTTTACTTTTTGTGACTGACCACGTGGGTGAACTTATTTTTATGATACACCTCGTGGCTTTATTCACATTTGGACCAATAATACAAAGGCCTCGTTTGGTACGCGGGAATGGGGTGGAATGGAATGGTCATTCTCACTTCTCATTCTTTCCTACCAAACACACCCTCTTTTTTGAAGTTAGAATGCTCATTCCCACTTCTCATCAATTCCCACTTTATGTGGGAATGAGCATTCCCAATGAAATGATAGGATTCCCACTTCTCATCAATTCCCACTTTATGTGGGAATGAGCATTCCCAATGAAATGATAGGGAATGAGCATTCCCACTTAAATGGAATTCCCACTTTATGTGGGAATGAGCATTCCCAATGAAATGATAGGGAATGAGCATTCCCACTTAAATGGGAATCAATAAAATAAATAATTTTGAAATACGTTCATTCTCACTTCATTTTATAAATTACACCCAAACGTGAGAATGAGAATGCCTATTCCATTCTCACATTAATTCAATTTCATTCCTTCTTCCATTCCATTCTCATTTGAGTCCATTCCCACGTACCAAACGAGACGAAAGGGTTTACCCTCAGAAATAGAACTAAAGGGGGCGTATTCAAAATTGAGTGATGCCCAAGGGGAGCCCATTTACAATTAACTCAAAAAAAAAATAGAAAATTGAGAGGATTAAATGGGATAAACAAATTTAGGGCTTAAAATGCAAAACTTGCCAAGTTCCGGGGATTAAATGAAATTAACCCTTAAAAAACCCTTATTAATGACATGGGTCATTTCTTGACACGCAGTTTCGCTTTTTACCCGAGTTGTCCCGGATTTGAAGCCTCACATCAGACGGTAGAGCCATGCTTTTAATGATCATTTTCTTCTTTTAACATTTTTTTACTGTAAAAATAAAGAAAGTTTTGCTAGGTTCATTTCCAGTATTAGCAAAAGTTTAAATAGGTGTAATTATTACCTAGCAATTAACGGATGAATAAGCTTCATTTAGGGTCATTTCCGGTATGGGATAAAGTTTAAATTGGTCCAATTATTATCTGGCGATGAACGGATGAGTGTAAGCTTCTTTTAGCAAAACCAAGACGGAACAGAGTATGAGTGAGAAGTGAAGCTTAAGTGGCTACTTTCAGCTCTTTACCCTTGACTTGTAGGATATATATATATATATTTTTTTGCTTGCCTATATATCCCCAAAATATATCTTATTCGTAGATTTACCTTCTAGATCTTTATATTTGCCCCCTTTTTTCTAAGTTTTTTTCACATTAAATTTTGCACACTGCTCGCTTAGCTAAAGGAAGCACGACATACAACAAAGCAGAATATGCATATTGCAATAATTAATCAAAATTAGAATAATACCTGGAACGCTTTCAGATCTTTCGTAATACATCTCCCAATATCTACTTTTAAAAAAAGTTCAAAACTTTCTCAAGAGAAAAAACCTGCAATTGAAATCCACTCGTTACCAAAGAGAAGCAAATTTGAGAAATAGGTTCTCAAATTTCTATTTTTCTTACTCTGTTTTTCATCTTCTCTTCATAAGATTTTCTATATCTTCATAAGGCTACTTATAAACCTGTTGATGTACTAGTGATCACACAGTCAATATATATCTGTGGTTAGATCAGTTTGAGGATTGATGAGGGGCCACTTTCTTCCCCGACTTTATATTTGTTTCTTTGAGTGGTGTTGATGAATCTACACAAGTAGAAACCCGTGAGAGGACGATGCTTGGTTTCCTAGTGGTTCCTCCAAGGATCAAGTTAGCTAGTGAACTTGAGTGGGGAAAAAATAAAGAACTGTGAGAGTTCTTCGTGCGTGCAGTATATCTGCTTAAAGATTAGATTTGTCTTCTTAAAAAAGGGATTAGGTCAGATCTTAGATCCCCCTCCAAAGATAGAATAGTACATGTATTTATACCAAGGGTATAATGGTAGATCGATCACTTCGGCCGAGCACAGGATGGTGGTGGCGAAGTGTGGATTGGCGGCTGAGTCAGCACATACTTTACAGGTGTGGACTAACGACTGGATGAGCGATCAGTTCAGCATTAAACGAGAAGTGATTGGCGGTATAATGACAGTACTCACGTGGTCCGATGAGTCATGAAGGCTATCGGAGCTAGAGGCATGATGCGCCTGTTATGCATTAAATACGATGTTGACATGTTGCCAGTGAGAGAGGCTCCAGGTAGAAATTGTCATTTAACTTCGCCAAGAAGTAACACCTTTCGAGTTGTCCTCGCAAGGCATCCAACAAAAGGTCGAGTGGGCTCGTGGCGAGTCATCTTCGACAAAGGGGATGGCAAGTACCACCTTTCGAGTCGACATGAGGGAATATCGACGTGAAAAATTGGCTGAGTTGTTGTCCCTGCTGGTCTCTGGCCACCAACTTGATTGAGGCATAGCATGCAGTACACCTGTTTGTTACTTGGCAATGAGTTGCACTTTGACGAATGAGAACACCATAACAGAACCTTATATATAGGATTAGACTAGCCTTATAGATTTTAATTTTAAACAATTCTTAATTGCTAAACAAATTCTATACCAATTAAAGATAGAATATTTTTCTATAACAATTAAAATGGAATACTCTTTTCAACAATAATTAAGGATAGAAATAAAATTGTATTGTATGTATACCTCTTTTAATAACATTAGTAAGACCAATTAGGTCCCTATCGAGAACCAACTATTAATCAAATTAATAATTTTAATTTAATAATAAAATCTTAGTCCGACCAACTATTCACAAAAGCTCTTCCATTATATAGAATTAATTATTTAATAATAATATCTTATATTCAGTCTCATCCAGTATTATTTATTTTAGGCAACTAT